GGCCCGCAGGTGCCCAGAGCACTATGGGAAAAGTGTGTATATAGAGCAAGCCAGCTGTTTGTTTTCTGCTCATCGATGCCTCGTGAACATGAATACGAAGAGCTTATCCCTGTTGCTTTGCTGTTCTGGAAATACTACGCATAAAAGGCGTAATGCAATCAGGATAGGCATTACCGAGTGAATGCTTATCAGGTGTAGCAGCTAAGCGAAGTGCCTGTAATTGCATTCCGATACCGTCAGTATGCACTATCATGAGCAGTGTTAGCTAGAACACTGAATCGGTGTTTATTAAACAATTACTCATAAAGTACTCATATGAATTCGACATACTGAATATCGAAAGATACCTTTCTGCCTGAGCATTTTGTGCCATAAACACCATGATGCCTGCCAGCTGCGCTCAACCGTTATGACCTTCATTTTTATGCTCCGTCTCGCGCCTCTCGCAGCTACACATATCTACGGTATGGTGACATGGGAGCCAAGACGTGAAAGCGGCCGCTTGGCTGCAATCGTAAAATGCAACAACCATAGTCAGTGCCATTGAAGGGTGACAGTAACTTACGATTTGTTGCCCAGGGTGTGAGCAACACGTGTTCTCTAATCAATGTGCCTTATTTTACTAAATGCTGAATATACTCTCTCACGTACCCTTTGAATATCAGAACCTCACCTTGCATTTGTTGGCAGGATGTTAATTCGTGTGACAGCTTGGACGAGTTATACTATATGTTATGCTATAGGTATAAAGTAAAGATATTTGACAGAGACTTCTGGCTAGATAAAATTACCTGAATAAACACTTTCCAGCTGCGTTCAGTCTACAGTTTTCAGTATTTATAATTGGCCTCATGTTTCAACACCCATTCGCCCTGTTCTACAGCATGTGACTGTTTGGCCAGCTCCATCCAAGTCTTGCTTTTTGATAACAGTCGTCTCCATTATTTTCTCGAATGGTTCTAGAGACCTTGCTCATACATGCTTGGCAGAGTCCCAGTTCACTGATTAAAATGTAGCTCCAGTTGTTTTAATATTAAAAAGTGAAGACTAGACGTGCCCGGAATAGTCTGTATATCCATAGACATCAGAGTTTTTACTATTCGATGTCAGCATTACCTGATGGAAAGCCACAAATTTCAGTTAAAAAGTCAAAGCAGAAATTTTACTGTCAGGGGTATCTCTCTTTTTATTTTGTTTATTTGATAATTTATTTTGTCCTTTTCGTTAATGACACTTCAATGCCACTCAGTTGGCTCAACAGTGACATGTTGAAACGCTAGACAGATAAAAATCATTGAGGGGCTAATCGCAGCTTAAACCAATTTGGATATTTATTTACACAGTAATATATTGCACCTCGCTGAATTCACCTGATCTAAGAGGTGCTGGCATGGCGCAGGCAGAAAACCAAAACGCGAGGCCCATGTGCACAGGTTTCAGCGGCCGCTGCTGCGGCATACACACTTTTCTCAGTATTAATGTAGTAAAGTTGTGCTCGCACAAGTTTACTAGAAACGCCATAGTGTAACATACTAAGTGAGGGAAAAAAATATCACAAATAACCATATGTACTTGTCACGTTGTCTGGTAGTACAGTTTCAACAGGCTAGCTTAGGATGAAGAGGAAAACACAGTAGTATTCACCAACCTACTGGGTTGGATTCACCAACCTGCTGGGTTGGGACCCAGGTGGATCTTAGAGTAGTGGCACGTGGTTCTGCGGCCACCATACTGCTGCTGGTCGCTTCACTCCTGAGGGATGTACTAGCATACTGCAACATTCAGTATGACCTGCAGCATGCAAGTTGCACAAAAACATTACTTTACACCGGATAGTTGTACTGCTCAACATTGGGCAATCACATTTAAATAGTGGTTTCTCACATTTGAATCACATTTGAATAGTGGTATACATATAAATTAAGAATATCTCACAGTTTCGTTATACACACTAACGTACTTCAGGTGTTGGCGTACATATAACAAATACGCCATAATCAACGAAAGATCAAGGGGCCTGTTTTTGTTGCACAATTACGAGAAGCCAAGGAAAGCATTAGAGGTGTGAACTTCAGCAATTGTGCAATGAAATAAAGGTGAACAATTAGATTGATTCCAGTGTGGATGGAGGCCACAATCTCTGCTTGCATATAGGGCATTGTCTATTTTTCATCCATTTTTATTTCGCTTTATCTCATAGTTACTGCACCGTACTAAAGGCGTGAGTAATGACCTTTACGCTTTCTTTGGCTTGGTTATCTGCTAGCTTGATGTAGACGCTGCAGCCAAGTAATTCCCATAGAAGTTCTGAGACTGGCAGTGATTCTTATAATGGCAGATGTATTAGTCACTTACTTGTTTCATAAAGTACCTTTTAAAATTCACAATGTGAAAGAGGAAAATAATGCTTAAAGAAGGAAAAGCACGGATAACGTGAGAGCTGTTCTCCAATTGATGGGGGACTGAAAAATACACTTTCAAATACTAATGTACTCTGTGATGCCCTAAGACAGCAAATTTAAACAGGTAAAACCACAAGTGAAGTGACGCACCATAGGGCAAACCAACAAAAAGGCTTTATTTGCAATGTTTTATACAATCAATGCAGCACTATGCAGAATGAACCGTTTGGCTCTTGGTGTCTCTCATAATCCTATGGCGATTTAGGGATGTTAAACCCTAACAATCAAATAACTGTTTGACTCGATACACCAGCACAGTTATTGAGGAAAATTCACACCTGCTAAAAACCTAAACATGTGGTGTTCATGACACATGTCCATAGTCGACGACAACTTCTCTTGGCGGCGGAGAGACCGCTACGGAGGCGGGGCATCGACACATGTGTAACTGCACAACTATTTTGGCAGCTTGCAGTCGATTTCAGTTCGTTTTTGGTTTTGCTCGCTCGCAGCATCTGACAACGGTTCAGGCTTGTGGCGACTCACCTTAGCAGAGACATTGCAGATAATTTGCTTGGTCTGTTACGACAGCCGCTTTCTGTCCAGACATTAAGGCATGAGTATTTCCGAACGTGCAAGTTGGGCGAAGTTGCAGACTTCGGCATTGCTATTGAACTTCAAAACGGGCTTCGAGGTGCACTTTGATGTTGCAGGTCATACCGAGTGGCATAGTATACGGTACACCCAATCGGTTTTAAACACTTGCTGAGCGTTCATTTAGCATTGCCATAAGCACTTGAGAGAAAATTGGCTGTTTTAGCCATGTTATGTTCTACTGTTACAGTAGCTGATGGCCCCTTTCATGTTTTTTTTTTTTTTTTTAACAGACACAGTGTGTTGCACAGCTTGGGCACTCACAATGCTTAATTAAGGGCATTTTCTAGCTGGCATCTCGATGTCGAAACACTAGCTTCTAATGCATTCAGCTCATTGTAACACTGTCCAGCCTGTGTATTTCTAATAGTCTTGATTAGCTCTTCATGTTGCTGTTTGGCCAGCCCTGTGTACCATTTTGTAATAGCCTTTTTTTTTATGCATGATTGCCTAGTGGTACTGTCTTAATTCTGTAATGTCCGCCAAGTCAAATCTTATATACGAGCTACTCACTTTTGTATTGGTCCATGTGTAACTCAGCAACACCGTTAAACAAAAGTAAGGCATATTGACATGGCAAATATAAACAGTTTTATTATCTTTTTTTTTTTGTGTGTGTGTTTACACATTTTTCTCCTTGTGTGGCATCTGTATGGTCGGGGCAATACAGAATTAATGAGACAGTTTAAGGTTGTGGGAATACTTTTTTTTGCTGCGGGCTGTTCGTCAAAAATATTTGAGGTGTTCAAGTTTGCCCCAGCGCGCACACAGTGACAATATATATAGGCCGGTGGATAATGAAAACTGTGTTAAGGGCGTTAAATGTGCTTCGTGACATTTTATTTTAGCATTTCAGTTATCACTACAGGCGATCATGATTAACAAAATGTCTTTATAAGTCTTTGTGTTCCTAGCAGTGTTTTTTTATTTATTATTGAACACTTTAATGTCTGCATTGATTATCGTGCTGTGCAATTTGCACTAGAACCTGTGCATGTTTGTCAAACTTTTGCCATTTACTGGTGTTTATGTTATAATGCATGCAAATAGCAATTGAATATAAGTAAGCTATTGGAATGTCATAACTGCTGGCATGTTTCAGCTTGTATTTCGACCATGAGCCCCGTGTTTTTTACTTGTGCATGAACGTGTTGTTGTGTGCCTGCCCTTCTGCCTGCATGTGTTACCGTAGACAGAGAAACAAGACTAAAAGAGCATTAAAGTGGTGGCATTGAACCTTGCTGTACTACATTCGGTGACACAAAGGCAGTCTCGATATAAAGTGCCAAGCATCAGCTGCTGTGGAGGTTTGTTGTCTTCTGTGTTGGTGAGAGCAGTACATCTTCAGCTGATGTGGATGGGAGGTTGTCTTATTGTAATGTACTACATTGCTGTGCTTGTTAATTTAGGCACAGTTCTAAGAAGTTAATTTTAATCTAAACACTGTCCTTCATTAAAAGTCCTCCACTCGAGCTTTCTGTATCGATTGAAACAGTGCAAAGTAAAAATTGTCGAGAAGTGGCAATTCACGATTGATATCTCATTAATGGCAAGTCCTATTTTATTTTAACCACTTTATAATGCCCCACAGGAATAAAGTGCCCACAGCTCCTTGAGGGGAGTCATTTGTGACTCCTTTAGGGCGATGTTTTAATGGACTATTCATTGTTAGGGTAGTCAATGTGAACACTCAGCCGCAAGGGTGTTTTCTGTTTTCAGTTTGCCTGCAAATTGAACGGCACAGGTGATTGGGCACAGGTGATTGGGCACTGGTTGGGTTAAGCCTGTTCTGCCCTTGAGAGTCTGCCTGCGTGTTGGTTTGTAGTAACAGAGGGACCCTAGCTCCAGGTTACGAGCTCACTTGTATCCTGCATGTTGCATGGCCACCGGAACGGCAGGAGTCGGGGCGTCGCATCTCTCACCGGCCGTTTTCTCTCATTGCAGCCAGTGGCCAGCACTGCCTCTGTACGCCACGACCTCCTTAATCCCATTAACGAGGATTGAATGAAGAGAAAATGCAAACAAACAAAAAGGCCCGCCTTGTGAACGACTGTTCTGTGTGCTGTAGTGTTGGTGGCATCAAGAGGAACCACCATCGGCCTGCATGTGTGTGCGTGTCCGTGTCGTGTACGCCCGCTCGGCCTTGTGCGCCCTCCCCACACAACATGACGATGCTGGATATTTTTTGGATGTTTCAGTGCTTCGTGTTACATCCATTCGCCTCCTTTATTTAATTTTTTTTTTTACTGTTGGCTTCCTGTCTGCTTGTCTGTCGATTCCACCAAAGTTTCTACGATCAAACCACTAATAGACGCAGCATTTTGGTCAACTAACAGCGTGTGTCACGTCGCTGTCAGCCATGCATCTGCAGCCTGAAGCTCTACTCATGGTCACGTGAAGCAAAGGAAATGAAAAGCTTGTGCGACCTGCTGACTTGCTGTCTCAAGCTTGACAACGAGATTGTTTTGCTGTATAGTTAGTCTTTACAGTGTATATGATACATGTGCAGGCTCTATTTTTTGGTGTGATTGCTCTTGCCCCACCTTCTTTTTTACATTATTTTCAAATGTACACTCTTATAATTGAGAGTATATTGTAAGCAACTCTGGAACTCTGTTGTAAAATCACAAGTCCTTTGTGTCTATGTCCATGGTCACAGCCAATGCATGTAATACTGCTGCATGAACCACTTATGTGGCTACTATAGAGGTCTTATCAAGAAAGGGCTGCTTCAAAAGTTTCGTTAATTGGTGTGATAAAAATGGGCTCTGAATTCGAGGAATCGAAGCAAGAGAAGAAGACAATGAGGCTGCGGCCTTATCGACTTCCTTCTTATATCACTGTCTATTTCGCTCTGTATGGTTTCATCAAGAGTCATTTCGTTCAGCTGGCCATCTTTTATTACTGGCTATAATGCGTACTGTGACACTGTGCAATCTATTTTGTTTTGTACATTTATGTTTGCTTTCAGGAATGGAGAAGCAATCTGAACTTCGCCTACCAGTTTCCAATAGTTTCGTTTTGTACTGTAGCGTTCAGTTTCGGAAATTTACGTTTGATTTCTGAGAGCACTTTGCTATGGTTGAAAGTGCAAGGGTTATTGATATTGTCTTCTAAACCAGCATGCCATCGAAGAAGGCCTATGAAGGCCCAGATTGCCTAAATCGCCATTGTAAACCATCCAATTGTGCTATAACGAGACTTCTACTATTTGCCAATTCCAAGTTCCTAAGTTGCAGAGACTTTCAGTAACGTGTCTTTTGAATTGGAAGATTTGGCAGTATTCTTGCTTTTTCACTCTCTAAAGCATAAAAATTAATTTCAGATTTGAAAGTTCATATTTCTTTATATTTGTAGTTGCTTTTGATATCAAAGTTTTTGCTGTTAAAATGCTCATGTTACTTCATCTTGTCATAATTACAAAGCTTATTAAGGCTAGATGAAAGAATACACTTCAAAGTGCCTGGCTCTTTTGAAGCAGAAGTGAACATCAGTAGGCAGAGATAAATGATCTGTATAGACACTTGGCTTTGTGTTGTAAATTGTTGTCCCCTTGAAAATGTCTTCAGCATGGCAACGCAGTTCCGCTATCATCTATGGGCGTGCACTGTCGCGGGGTGAGGGAATGTATTATACCAGTGTTGTCCCCAGTTAATCGCACCATGTGATTCGTGTACAGAGACTGCCGTCACCATGTAGGTTACTTCACTGTGCCATGGATGTTGTCTGCCTTTACTTGTCCCATTTGTGTGTGTAGAGCGGGAGTCCTAGGCATCCTCTCAATGCGTGTGTCACAGATAAGTGCCACTTTTTGGCTTTGACTTTAGTGGAGACATATAGTTTCACGAACGTGCACTTCGAAGCCTTCTCAGCCGGTGTATCCTTAACCGTAAGCGCTGTGTAACATACGTATCATGGAGGCTCCTGTTGGCAAAACTAAGTGGAACAAAGGTGCTAGTGTGTCTACCCGTTTTTAGTCTTTTAATCAGTGCAATGTGTCGTGCGAGTTGCAGAAGCCCTTGGAAAAAGTTGCATGAAATATTCGATGTTGCAATTTCAATCTTTCCATTGTAAAATAAAATTTCTTCTTTTTCCACTCTGGTGGCATGCTTAGTTGATGACAATTGCCCATTCTCAAAATTTCTCTAGAGGCATCGCTCTTGTCCATTTCTTTCTCAGCCAAACGATCAATTGCACATTATTTCATATAGCCAAAGCGATTTATTTCACATTATTTTATATAGTCAAACTGTGCTTGCATCACTTCAACTGTCAGGCAAAGGTTCATATACTGTTTTGTTCATTGCACAGAAATTCAAAATGTCTGCTATAGACAGAGGGAGTCAGTCTGTGAAGCTTGTGTTCGCTGGCTGATTCTTTAATGGAGTTGCTGGTTCACAAGCGTAAAATGTTAAAGGGATACTGACACAAAACTTTGCAGCCAAGGTAGCCTGCGGGATTGGTTCTCGTGAACATGCATTTGTCATCTGCAAAATATCAACGTCGAATATAGCTTGGAAGGTATTTTACATGAATTTCGAACTTTGCATGCACCATCAAGTGCTATACGCTGCATCTCGCAGTATCGGTGCCCTCAAAAGTGACCCCGTGGTGACCCCTGTACTTCTCTCACATCACCACGCTGCAGTCAATACAAGTTATGAGGATGTCACAACCGCCATTTTTCTTTTGCTGTGTTTGCTCCAGCAGGCTACTTCTCAGCAACTGCTCGCGAGTCTGTGGCCAAGACGCACATATTGAAATTTTTGTTTGGTCTTACTGCTGTCCTGTTTCCTGTCCAAAAGAACTTCTTTATGCAGACTGCGCGGAAGTGCACCGCAGTTCTGTGTGCTGACATGTTCGAGCATAGCATGCGCTAGGTGGTGCTAGTCGCATCTGGCGGCTTGTCGTTTTTGGAGCTCCCTCAAGCCGGAACTGGTCAGTAATGAGGAGCCCGTAATTGTCTGTCAAGCACTGCAACAAACTGTGTGCCATGTTACGACTACCAGGCTCCCAGTAACACACTGCAGCAAAACAATGCAAGGTCAAAATTTTTGTGTCGGTACCCCTTTAATGGCATAGAACAGCACAGATGACATAAGACAAGAAATAGCACTCTCTGTCATCGTCTTTCATCTGCATTGTCCTGTGCTGTTGTCACTGTTCAAATCTCAGTTCAGCACATTTATGTCAATCATGTAGTCACTCGTCCACTTTTGTGCATCACATCTTCATCGGACACCCAGTTGCAGGCTTGTCCGCTTTTTCCACAAAAGCTGTGCAGGGATAACTTCTCTCTCTTGCTGCTGTTGTACTTGCATTAGATGCCCATCGAGTTCGTCACTTCGGATGACTCACAAACCTGTGCCTTTTTTTTTCTTCCCACTCATAACTGCAATCTCCAGGTCTAGATTGGGTGAGTCACGTAGAGAGAAATAGTAGTGCCTTGGTGACTTTGATTGACAGTTTTAGTTTTTTCTGTCTGAATGCTGCATCTGCTACCGGCCACTGGTTTATAAAAAGCAGCTACATTAACGCCTGCTTTTTTTTTCTCCCTCCCCGACACGTGCATGAAAAAGCCGGCCTTGGGTTTTCAACCTCCCATCTTATTTTGAGGAGACTGCAGTTCTCTTCTGATTGTATAATGAAGGGTGGCACGCAGTATTATATTGTCCTTTTTATTACTAGACAACTGAATTTTAGGAAAGTGTGTATGTTATGATCAGATAATTTCTTTTTTTTACTGGACTGAGAAATTCTGGCTGCATAAGTTGAAATTCGATGCATGAAATAAATAAGTGAAATAAGTCTTGCTATGAATCATTAGTTGGCAGTAATTTTGCACTAATCTGGCATTAATTTAGTTATTTCTCACTTTTTGTGTGTGTTCTAGTGCTATGAGTCAGTGGAACATGCGAGCAAGAGGCAATGCATGTTTTTTACTGTTCGGTGTTGGTAGAGGCAAACTAGTTTCTCCTCGCTGTATTAAGGGGAAGTTTGGCGTGAGAAAAAATAAAATGCTATTTTTTTGCATGCACAATTCGCACACAGGATGCATGTTTTTCTCCTATTGTAGCCGTTTTTTATTAATATTTAATGTGGATAACTTTTGGGTGAATAATAACTTGCACCTTATTGAAGAGATGTATGCATGCAATATGTGGGGCGAAGCTCATGCAGGCGTAACATTTTCTCTGTTTTCAGACACGTCTCTAGTCTTCCACAGAAACTGCAACCCACTTTGCAATGACCAGCCTCCTTCCCAGCTCCCTCCTCCTCCCTGGCTTTGAGGCGCTCCAAGGTCACAGGTGTCAAGAGTATAGTTGTACATACTAACCATTTCTTCTTCTTCGTGTCCTGTAAAGAAAAGCAACTCTTGAGGGAATCACTTCCCCTCCCTTCGTATGCCATGCAGCACTGTGGGCAACTGGCTCTTACTCTTCAAATCTTATCCCCACCCCTTTCCCCTGTCATTCTATCTCTCGCCTTGCATCACAGCAAGTTGTGGCTACCGTGCGCTTACGCATCTGCTTTCATTTTGTACATAGTTAAATAAAGCAACGACTCCGGGTGTATGCATCTCCATAATTTTCTGTCTGATGTGCTTCTCATTGAGTTGTGCCACAATAAATGACCTTGCTATGGCCTCTTGGAATACTAAGCCAAACATTGAGGAATGCCCCTGCTGTCATCGGTTCGCCACCACCACCACCACCACTTTGCAAGGTCAGCAATGCTGTTTTTCTCAAAGAATAGTGCATGTTTAGCTGTCACCCTTGTGGAACTCTTCTGAAATGTATCGTACCAAGACCATTACTAAGCGGCTTGATCGGTGCTGGTATCGTTTGTCATATCCACATGCTAAAAATTACTGTAAAATATCTGCATCCTTTTGCCGCAAGAGTATAGCCAGCTTTCACCTGGAGTGCTGTGTGTATTGATCTCTTCCGTAAAGAATTGTCAATTGTGCGATTGAGGCGGCTATCTAAGGATACCAGGTTCGAGGCTGTCCACTGGAGAGGCCGGTGCTGCTGCTTCTGGGATGCAGCAGTAAACATCACGTGACTCGCCTATGCCGTCGTCGGTGCAGCTCACTTGCTTTCATTCTGTGGCAGTTCGTTTTCAAGCCTGCAGGTTTGTTTACTGCTCGATGTCACAGTGCTGGATGCATTCGAGTGATCTTTTATTGAATATGAGCCCTTCTAAAACTTTGCAGCAGTGGTATAATTGAGTGATAAAACTGAAATTGGTAGAACATCTCGGCATTCATCCTTGAGTGTGCAGCTCACTCAGCGGCCACTTTTTAGCGTCTGTGCATCCGCAAAGATTTTGCGGCCAGAGTTGGAGTTAAAATGCTCGGTCACTACGACGGTATACTCGAGGATCTGTACGCATAGAAATTTATTACCTTTATTTGCACCAGGCTGGAAAGAGCGATAGTGTGCCATCGCCATGGTGTGAGTTTTCATGCATGCCCCAAAACCAAGAAGCAGCGGGCGATAATGCTGAGAATGTGGAAGCAACCCAGCATTCATTACCCCGTGCAAGCACTTGCACGTAAAAAAATTATTGCACTGTGTTGCAGACAAAATCTTCGGTATATACGACGTGGGACTTTCTGGGAATGTGCACATAGAAACTTGCAATTTTTTTAATGCGAAACAGCTCTTTGACTCGCGTGTGTAACGCCGTGCGAACGCGTCGCAACGCGTTCTTCTCACTGTAGGTGTTGGAGCGGTGCCAAGTAGGTCACGCCGCAGGTGCGCGCTGACGTCACTCTCTCTCGAGGTTGAGGATGTTGTAGGTAGCCGGCGGATCTAGCCTTGCATAATTTGCAGGCAATTGCCCCACCCGGTTTTCTCTTTGCTAGTTGTAGCTAATGTTCTTTGTTTTTTAACTAAGCACGAGCAGGGTTTTAAAATCAAAATCGTGCATAGCGCAACGTAATCCTGCATAAGACGACGGCCTTTGTGCTTTTCCACATGCAGTAATATTCCGGTACTCTATCTCGCTGCGCTATACCCCAAACATAATTGTCACTTATCACCAGTCACATGCGAGGTCCATAGCAATCAAAAATTTCAAGAGAAGTCGTGACACCTGTTTCCTGAAGATTGAGGAACCACGTGGAAACACGGTATCAATCATGCTGTCACATGGCGAGCTTAACTGTTGCAATTCCTCAAATAAATCTTGCCGTTCCTTCTTAAGGTCACGACATTTAAGCAAATAGTGTTCTATATCACCGTTTTCCTTGCACTTCGAGCACCAGGGCGTCGGGGAGTCTGATCTTGTGGAGCCATGCTGGTGTATGTGCTGATCCCGTTCGGATGCGATGAAGCAAGCAGGCCTCTTCCCTTGATAGCCCTTGTGTCACACATGGCTGGTGAGGCGTCAGCCATAACGAGTAAAAATGCTTATTGACAGCCTCTCGTAAGATACGCTGATTGTCTTGGGGAGCCTTCTTGGTTGGTGTAAGCTCCAGAGCATTTCGGGCAAGTCTGTCAGCTGCCTCATTACCCGCTATACCCACATGTGATGGAATCCATTGAAACTTAATGCTTATACCAATGTCATGCAGGTCTTTAAGGATTCGCAGTGATCTTTGAGTGCATCGATCCAAAAGCAATCCATGTTTTAGCCGCTGCAAAGCGGGCTTACTGTCTGAAAACAGCACGACTTGTTGCTGCCTACAAAGCTTCAGTTTCTTCAGGGCTGCCTGAATTGCCACGCTTTCACATGCTGTCGATGAAACAACGCACTCGAGTCACGCTGCCCAGGACGCCTTTAGAGACGGGATCACAAACGCTGCAGCGCTTGCTCCACGCACTATGTCAACTGATCCATCGGTGAAAACTTTCAAATGATCGGCGTACTTTTCTTCAATATATTCAAGTACTAGAGAACGTACTTCTGCTGTGGGTGTGGAACGCTTGCTGTGCAACCGTGGAATCGTAACCTGACAGTCGACATCCTCATGTGACCAAGGTGGGTCTTGTTGAAGTTGTCTTTGTTTGGGAAAATTGATGATAAGATGGCGAAGGTTGTTGAGGGCCACAAAAGCTCGTGATTCCTTGCGTCGCCAAAGGCGACTGA